CTACGGTTTTCATTGTGTTTAATGTGTTTTATTGGGTTATTTATCTCCACCTCTCGAGAGAGACAATCACTGATTTGATTACTGCCGAAGACGTGTAAAATTATGTCATTATTTATTATCAAATATTCATTAATAAAATTTGTCTGAAATGTGTAATAATTAGTTTTAATAATTTTGTATTTGCCTTGAATTGTATTTATTAGAAAATATACTGTAGTTTTAAAATTAAATATTTTATTTTTTATCAAAATTGTGTGTAAATTATTATTGGTTAAATTACCATAATGATCAATATCTGGTAATTTTCAATGCTATTGAGGGAAATTCCTAATCCATTGAAATATTGAGTTACTATTGAGAAGTTTGTTAAGACTGTGACATAACTTATGTTTTTCATCTGAATTTTAATGTCTGATATAAAGTCTTTAAAAATCATTTACTGATTATAAACTAAAATTAGTGTCAATTACATTGTACGTATATATTAACTGACTTTTACTCGGAGTCTACTCTCGGTTTATTTTGTTTTATTTTTACTTTTTGTAAACTATTAATAACTATATTACAAAAACAATTATGATTCTAATTGGATTGTAATTATATATGGTACATCTTAAATAATGTTTAGTAATTTAATAGTATTAAATATAATTTATAGTTTATAACTTATAATTTAATAACTCTCTCTCTCTCTCTCTCTCTCTCTCTCTCTCTCTCTAAGTTTAGTAAATTAGCTATTTTTATAACCAAGGCCTCAAAAGATGTTTAAAATTCTGTGTCAATTTCAAAAGTGCCAAAGAAACGATGTCGTAAATAATATTTTATGCCCAAAATATACATGTCTGTTGACTCTTACATGTCGTNTTATTTGCAATATAAAGTAAATTTATTTGTAAAAGAGTTTGTATTAATTAAGTAAATTAATGTATTATATATAACAAATTCAACGTTTCACTATTCCGGTAAAATTAAACTGTTTTATGTTATGTAAGTAACAAATACAGTACATAATATTTGTGTATGAAATAGTTGAATGTATAAATAAGGTAAAAATACGCTCATTTATTTTAAATAATGATTATTATTTAATATTTAATGTTTGCTTTTTTGTTACTAAAGACAAAACAAAGTGTGTTATTATTTCATATTCTGAAAACTGCGTGAATACACATTGTTTGCAATGTTTTATGTTTATAAACATAGTGTCCGATCGATAACTAGTGTCTCGTTTTGAATTGTTTTTTGTTTTACAAATTAATTATTAAAAAAATTGCCAAAAAATATAAAATGACTTCAATTTATTGGGAATTATTAACTCTGTGTTTAATTTGTTATTGCATTAAATTTAATAATTCAAAGTAAGTATAAAATTAATTTTATTTATTATAAACTAACTTGTAAATATTTTTAAGTTCTTCTATAAATTATTTGTTTTTATTTTTTAGCGAAACTATTGATAAAATTAATGAAATATTAAAATCATTTGAAAACAATAATTATAATAAAAATATTCGACCAAATTTTGGAGGTATGCTTATCAAAATAAATTCAAAATTAAATAACCATAATTTATATTATAAATATCAGGTTCACCGGTTGTAGTGAACGTTGCACTACGAATAAATGACATCAGCTCAATATCCGAGGTGCAAATGGTATGTAAATTACCATGCTCGTTATATTGAATAGTGTAACATGATTACTGATGTTATTAATAGTTAATTAATAAATATTATGGTAATATTGTTTGCAAATTGATAGGACTATACACTGGATATCTATCTGAGACAGTCTTGGAATGACCAGCGATTGGTGTTCGACGGCAACAATACTGTGGATGAGATAGTAATCGGCGGTGAGTTTGTGCGCCGTCTATGGCTTCCCGACACTTTCATAGTGAACAGCAAACACATGACTTTACATACAAACACACGACAGGAGACCAACACTCTCTTCAGGATCAGACCAAACGGTGATGTTTTTTATAGTATACGGTATGAAATGTTATGTTTTGTTTTATAATTGTTAATTAATTGTTAACATTGTATACCATAGGTTAACAGCAGTAAATTTATGTCAAATGAATTTAGTATACTTTCCAATGGATCAACAGATTTGTGATTTAGTTCTGGAGAGTTATAGCTATTCTGTCGACGATATTGAATACAATTGGGAACAGAATAATAGCATAAGTGATGGCATCTCTTTGCCTAACTTTAAGATAGAAGGCTATAAAATGGATAAATACATCTCATACTCAGCACTCGGTACTCAATTTATATTGTTATCATTAAATACAATTATCACTTTTAACCATGCTATAGTTTTGTTTAATTATTTACAATGTTACATCTAAAGGTGGTTACTGGCAATTAAAGTTTGAAATAATATTTAAGCGGTCGATCGCTTACTATATAAGCCAGGTATATTTGCCGGCGTTTATGATCGTGGTGGTGTCGTGGCTACCATTCTGGTTGAACCCAGCTGATTCCGTGGCCAGAGTGGGACTGGGCATCACTACTGTGCTTACAATGACAACTCTGGTCACAAACACCAACGAATCCCTGCCTAAGATATCGTACACCAAATCAATAGACATTTATCTAAGCGTCTCGTATGCACTCGTATTCCTGGCACTTCTTGAATACGCTATTGTCGGACACTTTGAACGTAAAATTACTAAACAATTAAAGTATAATGATCGTGGTGTTAATGATACATGTGACCAATCAGGTGTCCGATCCCAGAAGCTAATTGACAGGTACTCTCGGTATGTGTTCCCAATTTTCTACATAATATTTAATGTAATTTATTGGACAATTCACGGGACAATACTTAATAATTCTAAAGATGATCTAATAAGTTTAATAACTAATTAGTAATATTCATTTACTTTTACATGAATGCATTATGTTGCTTTTTAATTTTCTAGCCCATTAAATTATATTAAAAATTTAATTGTTATTCGCAATAAATATTAAATCAATTATCAATTTACGAGCACTTTATACATGTATCATTCGTGTTGACCCAACTTATGGTTAATTTCTACATTTTGAACATTATTTTTACGTAAAACTTAATCACAGCATTGCATTCAATTATATTAGAATAATTTTTTTTGTATTATTATAATATTGCAATTAAACATCAAAATTAATAAACGTTTTATTTACGTTAAAATACAATAGTTGTAATTAAAATGCATTTACTCCGAGGCAACGGCGACAGACCGACCGAACATTTTATAAATAAATACAACAAAACAATTTTATATGTTCATCATCTGAACAACAAATTAATTATCAAAAGTCCAATAAAACTATTATTAAAAACATCTCAATCTCTAATACACTTAATGTCTCCACTGAGGGGTCGAGTGGTTGTGGCGCTCAACACAACTCTATACCAATTTCAAGGCATACCATACGCTGAGCCACCCATCGGTGCGCTCAGGTTTGCTAAGGAAGTGTTATTTGTTGTCCCGAACTATAGTTTTGGGATACTTTGGTTTCTTGATTCTCAATTGATTATTTGTTTTAATCACAATATTATTATCGGTAATGAAATACTTAAAAGCATTTTACCATTAAATTCATGTTTAGATTAACAAATAGATTATCCATTGATGTACTGAAAAGCGAACCAAAAAACTACAAATTGTTTAAATAATTGGTTTCAATGAATGACACAATTTATTGTATAATGAATTGGGAGAGAAGGGAAGAGAAGACACACCTCTGCTCAGACACAAGCGGGTCATCGCGTGGAGCGACGGCTCCGGGATCTGCTCCGACGAGTTCTCCTTCTGGTCCTCCTTCTCCTTCGTGTGCCGGAAGCGGAGCGCTGTCTTCGCCCGCGTCTTCCCGACCGCTGTCTGCCAAACGAGCGCCGACTCCGGCGGCTAAACAGATCCCTTCCAAACCTACCGCCCCTTCCATTGCGGCCGTCCCTCGAGTTGCGGCCATTTCTGCGGGCGTTTGGGTTGAAGACCTCGCGGGGCGGCCGACGCCACGAGCGGCGACCTCTCCGCCACGCGTCCTGACGCGCGACTGCCATCTCTTCGGGCGTTCGCGGCCGTCGACAGAGTACTCCCCGACGCCAATAGTAGCCCAACCGATGATAGTTGAGACGCGGGTTGCGTACGGGTGGCGGCGGTCGCGGCGGCCGATAGCGACCCCGACGCGGCACAACTGCCATTGGCTGCGCGAATGGATTGAAATTCTGTCGCACCACCGGTCGTGTGTCGTGTCCGCCGTCCGCCCGGATGTTGGTCCAGATCTCTGTGATTGGCTGCCGACACACCGGGCAGTTGGCGTGTTGGTTGGCCCACTCCTGCAGACACGCCGTACAGCACCGGTGGTTACACTGATTGCCGCGACCGGGCTCTGCGATTGGGTCCATACATATGGGACACCGGTTGTCGGCGGTCGCGGCAGCGGTTCCTCCGCTTCCAGTCTTGGATCCCGCCTTAGCCTCTGCTCCCGATCCAGACTTAGCCTCAGCTCCCGATCCAGTCTTACTCCCAGTTCCCGATCCAGTCTTAGCCTCAGCTCCCGATCCAGTCTTAGTCTCAGCTCCAGCACCGGATCCACTACTACTGCTACCACTACTACCAGAACTGGCGGACGACTTGTGACCGTCGGTAGACTTCTTGCTGTCGGAAGAGCTGCCATCGGAACCAATTCGGGCCGAAACCGGACCGAAAAGTCTGCTTTCGGTGCTTTTGGTGCTATCAGTGCTGGCGATTGTCTTCACTTGACTTGATTTGT